AGGTCATAAATTTTAGTCTCTGATAACACTAACTGGTATCTTTTTTCCTTTTAGTAATAACAGTAGAAAAACCCACAATCTCTAAATAAAGCCATTTGCGAACACTCATACTTGGAGAACAATTTATAGGGTACAAAGAATTTTCATGTGCCTTGTCTCATTGGGTTTTCACAACATCTCTGCAAGTTGGGTAAGTTGTTAAATCCCCATCTTATCTTAATGAGAAAACTAAAGCCTAGACATGCTAGCTGAAGGGCACAGCAGAGAGGCTGTCTTAATATAAAGCCTACACAGCAGCTGTTATCTGCCTGAACTCTGGCAAGTAGCTCAATCTCTTTCTGCTTTGGTTTCACATGTGTAAAATGTGCACCTCCCTGGGAAGTTGAGATGTTTAAATAAGTTCATGCAGAAAGCTTGGAACCAGTGATTGACTCATAGTAAGTTTCAAGTATAGTATTAGCATTAAGTGTCCACTGGGGACAAGCACTGGAGTAGTCTTATAAATAAAATGCTGCAACTCAACCATGCAGGTAATTCAGCCCTGGCTCATTCTAATTTTAGCTAAAAAAACTCAGATAACATATGACATCAAGTCAGTAATATTTGAAATAGGCCGGGCACAGTGGCTCACGCCTATAATCCCAGCACTTTGCAAGGCCGAGGCGGGCGGATCACTAAAGGTCAGGAGTTCAAAACCAGCCTGACCAACATGGTGAAACCCCATCTCTACTTAAAATACAAAAATTAGCCAGTCCTGGTGGTGGGCCCCTGTAATCCCAGCTACTCGGGAGGCTGAGGCAGGATAATTGCTTGAGCCCGGGAAACGGAGACTGCAGTGAGCCGAGATCATGCCACTGCACTCCAGCCTGGGTGAGAGAGCAAAACTCTCAAAAAAAAAAAAAAATTATATATTTTTGAAACAAAATGACTCAGTAAAAATACTAAAATCTATTTTGCATTCTATGGATTACCTGTTTTAAGAAAAACTGTTAAATTCATAGCAGTGGTTTTTCTCATTTAATTAAACTTACTTACCTTTCTTGATACTCCCAGCTTCAATGTAAGGGGTAAGAAATAATGGCTGTCCTCCATCTCCCTTAGGTGGCATGGGAACACTTCTGTATAGGGAGCCCAGCAGCCCATCACAGGAGCCAGGCGTCAACAGGACCAGCAAAACAATCACCTTCCACATGGCAGCAGGTCTAGGATAAAAAGAGCATTCCACAAATGAATCAAAAGAGTAAAATTTACTCAAAAGAGTAAACATTTACCTGGCCCTTTTACATGCAAGAAATTCATTTATTCACTTAAAAAATTACTGTGTGTAAAGACCCTTTGCAAGCACCTTGGATAGCACCACAAATAAGCACACTCAATCCCTGCTCACCCTTACATTCACAGGTTAATGGGAGATTCTTCAAGGATTTACAATGTCAGTAATTTTTAAACTACCATTTTTTTTTTTTTTTTAAACAGAGTCTTGCTTGTTGCCCAAGCTAGAATGCAGTAGCACAATCACGGCTCACTGCAGCCTTGGCCTCCTGGGCTCAAGCAGTCCTCCCACCTCCGCCTCCCACAGTGCTGGGATTATAGGTGTGAATCACTCACATTTTTAAAGGTTCAGTATGGAAAGCAAATTCAATGGAGGATCAGATAAAGCCTCAGGACCACAAGAACATAAATGGGTGGTAGAAACCATTATGTCACCACGGAAGGGCAGAGGGATCACAACACATTTCAGGCCAAGAGATCATTGAGAGACCTTACCAAAGTCAGATGTGGATACAAGGTGAATGTTTCTCAGAGAGGTGGGAGAAATGGGAAAGGCATCACAGGTGGGCGCAAAGAGCTTAAGCAAAGGTGAGACCTCAGGCATGCATGCATACTTTGCCGGGAAACTTCAAAGAAGCAACGCATTTCTGGTTATGTCCTCTATCTCTTATACTCCCAGTTTGTATCAAAGAACAACAGCAACAGCAGCAACAAACTGAAAGGAAAGGTCCTACAACTCTCCTTGGGACTCTCCCCTTATTGCTAGCTGATAAGTAAATTCAAGACATTAGGCCCCAAACTGTTAGCACAAAGCCTTCCAAAGATCTTCAAATCTGGTGTTTGCTTAGAATATTCATCTGGATTCATCTGGCATGATAATGACAGTATAAAATTGTATAATGATTTACATATACATCAATATGTGAGTTATATTTATAGTGGGCTTTCCCATGTATTTGTAGCTGATTTAAATCTCCTGATTTCACCAGTGTTAAAGAAACAATGACTGAATGTTATTTGTAAAAGCGTGGAGACCAAGACTTTATCAGGATAAAGACAGGCATAGGGACCTTGCAGTCAACAGGATCTTGCAGCAAGGAAGAGGGATTGGGCTCAACTCCAAACCCAGCATGGGCCAGCGGGAATTTATAGCCAAAGAGCACTGTGGGGGTCATTGGATGAAAAATTACTCAAAGGAAGCACTGGGGTAAGGAGGATCTGGCTAAATTGACCTAACAGGATTTGTGCTGAAGACAGGCCAGGGTGATCAGACAGGATGAGAAACCTGGTCAGATACTGAGGCAATCAGATGTTGGTCTTGGTGGTTCTTCATAAAACAACTGAGCAGTGTCCTTTGCTAAAACCGAGCATTACAAGGAAGTACACAAATGGGCATAGTAGAAGATTCAGAAGCCTAACTAAAATTTGGCCAAGGAGAAACTCCTTGATACTAGGAAAGTGAGGATTATTGTCAACAAGTTCAGATAAGGAAAATTTGAGAGGACATGAAAGCAGACAAACCAGGACTTGAAGGCAGTCAAGACCAAGACTAGGGAGAAGCAAGGGAGGTGCAGACACAGGGCCAGCTTCACCTAAAATGCTGACCATTTTTACCATCGTTAACTTTTCTCAGTATGACACAGTTGTTTAACTACTACATTAAAATACTATTGATGTTGAGGTTTTTTTTTTTTTTTTTTTTTGACAGTAAGTTTTACATCTGGGGCAGTGCCTCTCTTGTCTCACCCTAATCCTGGCCTTGCTAAGCAGGAAGTTAGAACAGCACACCAGGGCCGTTATATGACTCTGCACTCCTGCTATTTAAGCATGAAAAATTACTCACGTTCTTAGCTGTAAATTCCAAATAAAATACATGAAATGAGTTAGTATTCCACACACTCACATTTCTGGATGAAGAAAGAGATACACAATTATGCAAATACAACGCCTGCTTTTGTTCAGTGCTTTAAAATGCCAAGCCATTAGAACATCTTAAAAATACGTAATGTGTAAAAATCTTTTAACCACATGCTTATTACAACCCAATTTGGCATAACATAAAAATATTGGTTGTAGCAAATTTTTAAAGCTTTTTAGGCACATTTCCCCAATAAGATAAAGGTTTATAATTATAATGTGATTGAATATATAACCCTTGTCACGTCTCTCAGTTAACTTAATAGAATTCCCCACACTTAATGTAAATAAGGCCAACCAAATCCAGTATGGATCTGAAAAATGCTTTTGCCTGTTATTGACTATAATAAAGAACAAAATGAATTTAGGAACTGAAATTAGGTTCCCAAGAAGCTCCAGGGTAATGACCTCTCTGGCTCTGTTAAAACATTTTTTTAAATTATGTGAACTTGTTTACACCGATGCTTTTATAGCAGAGCTACTTTCAAGGGATGCCTGCAATAAACAATCTTACTCTCTAACTGGTTCAGAAAAAACAATAATATATATACGCATGCACTATTTAAAAAAATAATGGAAGCAGCTCTTCGAGTAAGACTTTTTTTTCCTGGAGACAGAAACCTATGAATCATGCCATCCAATTTCTCCATCTTCCTGCTGCCTATCCATAGCCCCTTTAATGGAAGCCATTAATATTTAAATAACCAGGGTAGTTACAGCACTTCCCTTGTAAGCAGATGTTGTCTCAAAGATATTAAACAAAGAGGTAAAACTGGTCCTGTTTTAATTAATATAAATCTAATACATGAAAGTAAGAATTGGGTCAACTTAGATCTCATTAACATTTAATCAAATCACTATTTGAGTCATGGTTTCCCACGCAAGTGAATTAAAGCACCGACATATTTCATTTCACAGTTTTCATTCAAAAGCCAGAATTCCTGAACTGTGCTTGCTGCTGTTATCTCTCCTTAAGAGAGTGAAAGCTAGTATCATAAATGGAGAAGTGGGTTTTTTGTGTTTTTTTTAACACCCTCTCATATGTTTCTGCCCATCCTAAATTAGCATGAATCTTTTTGTTTATTGAACATATATTGAGCAATTTCTCAACCAACAAACCTTGTATTAGAGGATATCTCCCACAGAAACTTAAAAAAGAAAACTGTTAACCCTACACTTTGTCACACCTACTTGAATTAACATCGAAACAGTGGTGCTATTTCCAGTTCAAACATATCATTTTGAAGAATTCAAATAAAATGTTCCTCTTAATAAATCTTTAGAAACAGAACAAAATCTAGGTAAACACAAAGCAATATTGATAGAATCAAAGAATCTAAAGGTCAAAAGTCTGTAATTTGCTAAAATTGTCTTACTAAACCTTAAATATTAAAGTTGGAAATCATGTGTCCAACGTACAATTGACATAGAACAAAGCTATTTATCCACAGTGCTCTTTAGAATTAAAACTGTCAAAAAATAAAATTTCCAACAGTAAGACATCAGATAAGTTACTATACACCAAAAAGATAAAATTATTATATATATATACAGCAATTAAAATGATTCTATTAAGAATGTTTTGAAAAATATGATAAAATGTTCTTAGGTAAAGAAAACCAGGATATTAGATTGGATATATAGCATTTTTTCCTTATTTAATACTTCTTAATCTCTAAATTTTCTATAAAAATCTTATACTTAGAAATAATTTAGGGCTTTGTTTTAAAAAGCAAAGTGAAGCAACTGCTAGACATGGCAAAAAAAAAAGTGCTTATTTCTTATTACTACCTGGTTATGACCTCTTCTGTTTCCTAGGAATAAGGTTCTATTTGTACTTCTAGAATAGCTTCTTCTTTCTGTAACATTCTGTTAAGATGTGTCCAGATCTCCTAAAGCCACAGAATCCCAGAGACTCAAAGTAAACTTTCTCTTTGGCAAATCAGAAGGCTCCGCATAAATGTAAGATGCTATAATGTATCTGTATTTCATTCTTCCTGGCGTATAGTTGATAATGAGAGTGCATACAGTTTGTACTAAGCAAATATTATTGAATTGATGAATCTAATGAACCATGATATTTTAGACCTACAAGATATTAAATGTTCATGTGGTCCAATTCCTTCATCTTCAGGCTAGAAAATTTTAACCAGGAAGTAACTGACTTGATCAAGATGGCAAGGCCAAGACTCAAAGCCAGAATTCACTTATGGCTCTAAATCTCATCTGCTTTCTGTTTAAACACGTGCTCTGAATGAAGAGACCCCTGCAAACAGGCTTTGTGTAACATGGCTATTTATTCACCGGGGCACGGTCCAGCCAAGTCTGAAAGGACAGTCAGTTGCAGGCAGTGGGATAGGAGTTGGTTTTATAGGTTTGGGATAGGCAGTGGAAAGTTACAGAAGCTACAGTTTAGGGTAGTTTTTCCAAGCTGGGAGGGGGTTGTAGGGTCTGGAGTCACGAGGTTGACCAAGGTCAGTTACAAAGTCCAATTGTCTTATCAGTTGAGGTGCGAATGAGGTACAATAGAACAAAGTCTCAATTTAATTAGGCCCCACAGGGAATGATCATTCTTCCCCTTTTTGTGGTCTTCCAGTTACTTCAGGCTTTCCAGTTCCAGGAACTCATCTAGAGTGTCTGTGCAGGTCACAGAGGTTACCATGGTGCCCACAGCACAGTCAGCCTAAAACATCTTTACACACTTACCATATTTCCTTTTTTTTTTTTTTTTTTTTTTGAGATAGTCTAGCTCTGTCGCCTAGGCTGAAGTGCAGTGGTGTAATCTGAGCTCACTGCAACCTCTGCCTCCTGGGTTCAAGTGATTCTCTTGCCTCCACCCCTGAGTAGCTGGGATTACAGGCACCCATCACCACACCCAGCTATTTTTTGTATTTTTAGTAGACACTGGGTTTCACCGCATTGACCAGGCTTGTCTCAAACTCCTGACCTCAGGTGATCCTCCCACCTAGACCTCCAAAAGTGCTGGGATTACAGGCATGAACCAA